CTCCATCAGTCGGTGACGCATCTTTCCCATCGTTCAAGCTGCGTATGGAACAAGGTTGCGTGGGTGGATCCTCTGGAGCTTGACCACGATCGACCTGCTGTGTCTCCACTGCCGTATTCACGTTTCCGCCTGATCCACTTTCCCCTCCTTTTGGCGACTTCGACTGCTGCTGCATGTGACGCTGTTTCAGCTCCTCGAATACGATAGCACATACAGCAGTATTAGGACAGAAGCATATTTGACGTAATGTTAGCCGTACCAAGGTCCGCGCGATCCAAGTACTCCATCAGGTCATCCTCCCCCACGAAGTAATCACGCCCACGCACCCCTCCCCGCTTCTTCTTTCCCGGCATTATGTAGATGATGTCGTAGGACAGTCCAGTCGACTGCTGGGATTTCCAGCCCACTCGTGCAAGCTCGCGCCATCGCGCTTGAAAGGCCATTCGCTGCCAAGCCGGCAATTCTGAAAGTGAGAGGGAGAAATGAGTGGCGGCTGGATTCACGCCCATCAAATATCATATGCGATATGTTGGCACTCTCTTTCTGAATGTTGGCATGCTTATGTCCTCATGATCTGTCCTTGTTCACAATGAGGATTCACTCGGGAGGGAAAGGGTATGGCACCTAACCCTGGTTGACTTCAACTTTGTATAGTCCCATACAAACTTTGAGTCAAAAATCCTTAACGTGGACCGTACACGTTAAGAAAATCGTGATAACATGTACGGTCCACGCTCTCGCGTTCAAGGGTTAATGTATAGCAACTTTCTTTTGTCCCCTTCACTAAAAGCTGGGATATATTTTAAGTTTACATAACAAACTTTGCCAGCAGAAACTCTTTTTAATATACAAATTTCTGTTTTTTTATGCTTTAAAAGGAGTATTTTGTACCTTAATTAACAGTAATAACCAATACAATTTGGATGTGGCAAAAAAATACTGAAAGTTTAAACTTTTGTTGTGGGATTTCAGTAGATTAACACCCTTTAACTAGTACTTATAGAGGAATTCGCCGTTCTGATGCACTACTGAATCGATCTAGTGCCTCATCGCGGCTGATACTGATTGTGAGGTCAGTTTCTGTGCTCAAAAGTAGAAGATCGGATAGCTATTCGTCGCCGATCTTCGTCCTTAGACGAGTTTTAACGCGTTTCATTACTGAAAATGAGCGCTCAGCGCTCGCCGTTGACACTGGTAGCGTACAGACTAGTTGAATTACTCGGTGCAGCGTAGGAAATATTGTATGTGCATCTGAAGCAATCATTGTGACACTAAGTTGATTGACGGACTTGGTGTTCTCAAAGCGACTGTCATTGATTGCAAATTCACGGAAGCTGATTGCCTCCTGCTTCAAACTTTCAATTTGACTTTCAAAGTCTTTCGGATAGTAGTCGCTTGCAATTTTAGAAATTGAGTCAGGGTTCCAATAAATGAACTTTTTACGAGCGTTTAATCCTCCGCAAAGCTCCATCAGATCAAGAATGTCTCCACTAAATCGTCGTTTTAATTCACCAGCAATTCCTTTAACCACAGCTAAATACACGTCTTTATAATAGTGAAATTCTTGTGTGACAATCTCATTTCGATCCGCACCGGGGACACCAGACTTTCCTTTTCCCCTGTTACGTGATCCCCTTCGTGACCACGGTGCTGTTTTGACCGGTACGTCGATAGGGTCGTGCAATGATGTGCAGAATGCTTCCGCAGTAGCCCAAACAGTACAAAAACTAGTCTTTTCGTCGTCTTTTAGTTTGTTAGCTTGCATATTGTTGAATTAAGTTTGCGTCTGTCTCACTAGTCCTGAAGCCGAGGCTATATCCATGTCATCCTTTTGTAGATATTGAGACAAGATGTTTACTTTTTCCAATACCACTATGAGAATTTCCATGTGAAAAACGAAATCAAATGTTTGCATTTTTGTAATAATGCTCTTTGCATCAGCTCGCTTGTCGGGATTGGCTCCATCTAATTCCACGCGCCTCAATACTTGAATAATTGGAGTCCATAACCATCTAATCCGTAATAAAGCTCGCACACGACAATTCCAGCGCGTGGCACTTAAAGCCTGAGTTGCAAGAGGCTGGTTCTTACCTCGACCGGTTTCCAGATAACCACTGCTGATTAGTTGTTGTAGTTCGTCTTGCGCGTAACCATACAAACTGTCTTTCCTTTTGTATGATGCACTACAAGTAGCGTGAATAGACTGAACGATGTTGAAGCATTCCGTCACAGAGACAGTCTGTTTTGATACAGTCACTACTGCAAGATTAAGGCGGTGAGCGAAGCAGTGAACGTAGTAAGCGTACGGGCAAGTATCTCGGATCAGGTTTTGTAGCCCATTATATCCACCGGACATGTTTGAAGCCCCATCGTATCCTTGGCCACGGCACCGAGAAATGTTTATTCCCCAAATTGTGATTTGATTTATCAACGCAGATTTAAGTGACTCAGAAGAGGTATCGCGAACGTGAACCGAACCCAGAAGACGTTCTCGAATTTCACCAGTATGCCTGGATAAAAACCGGACTACAATAGCCATGTTTTCTTTTCCACCTTCACATGTTGCTTCATCTACTAGGAGCGCAAAATACCCTTGTCCAAGTTCATTCTCCACGATATGTTCACGAACTTCATCCGCCGCGCAATGAATAAGCTCCCGTTGTACTGTAGGAGATGTGGACTTGGCATTTGCGGCGGCAGAGTTCATCAAATCCGCGAAATCTGGCATTCTCTGAGCCAAAAAAGACAGCATTTCAAGAAAATTACCCCTATTGCAGGACGTCTCCTGTTGAAGAATCAAAAACTGTCAATTAGGACTCCGTTTAAACGTTAATACTAATAACGCCTACCTTCTCGTCGTTGCCTCTGAAAGCAATACCTTGTCGCGCGAGAAATAAACACACGTCTAAAATCTGACGAAGTCTTTTCCTATTTTGTTCTCGCTGGCTTGCATTTGTTCTTTCCAGAGCTATCGTAATATCACAACTTCCCCTCAGGACTTCGAAAAATGCAGCTTCAGCATTATGATGTCTAGAACAGGGCTGACCAACGTGGGCGACAAAACCGTCTTTTGTCGTGGCTTTTTTCCAGTTGTGAAAGCCCAGAGCTGGACGCGCAAACACAGAAGTGTCCTTTGCTGTCATTGCTTCTCGGCTTAAGTAACACCATCTACAATACACTGCGTCTGCTTTTTCAGAATACTCCAACCACTTATATTTTTCGAACCATTCAGGCTGAAATGATCTCGAACGCTTGCCATAGGAGCGGCTCGGATAGCACGTTAAGCGGGGTCGAAATAAATTCATCTTAGAATATGCAAAAATGACTCCACGACGTAGCTTCGGATCCTCTTGCAGCTGTCTAATTGCAAAAATATTAGGAGGGCGGTCCACAGGATCGCAACGAACAAAGTCGTGAGCACGGCAGTCAAGTGGGTCTTCCGCGATGCCATTTTCGTGGCACCATTGAGCTGCAGATGACGATTCTGAGTCCGCACTACGTGAAACAGGTGGAGTAGTAGGCTCTGCTAGAGATGAAGTTTGTACCGGATTATTAGTGCGCTCTTGTACTTCATCCGGGGACGGCCGAGGTTGCTTGGCGAAGAAGTTTGTTATTGCTTGCAGTTTCTGTCTCTTGGGCGGCATCGTGCTTCAATACGCAAGTGTGGATTTAATCGTGGAAATACTTAACCCTACTCACTATGGCCCCCCTCTCTAATTTTGGCTGGCTCCGCATGGCTGTCGCGACGACTGGACGTACGTGAACATACGGACTGTCGTCGTTGTTGGAAACTTCGACAGTCAAAAAGACTCCAGTGGGCGCTCGAGTGGGTGAACTGAGAGGCAAATACTGCGCCGATGGGATGGCATCGGCTTGCTTGATGCTGCTGCCTAGCACCAAACCTGACGACTGAATGGACTTTGGACGAGTGCTTACATACCTGACGGATCCAGTGAGCAACAACGTGGTCGACAATCGCTCAGTAGCTTGGACGATCACTTGACCAATACCGAGGATACTGACATCCGCGCTCTTACACACAATCGATGCTGCGTTCACGAAGCCTTCACCTGCCAGGTGAATCTTTTCAGTGTTGCATGTTCCTTCAGTTGCGTAGGAAACTTCTCCATTTCCTACAATTTCAGTTGCGAGTGACTCAACCTGAAGTTCGGTCGTCTGTACGATGACCTTACCAGTCCCTGCCACTGCAGATTCCACTTTGGCTGCGACGAAATTGTCCGTAGCAAGGACAGTAACGTGGCCGGCTCCGACTAAGGAGACAACAACTTCGTCTGTGACTTTAAGTGAAGAAGATTGGAGCTGAATGCCACCGCTGCCAGAGACAACGATCCCTACCGATCGTACATCAAACGAGGTGTTCATCGACCCTACGAAAATGTGTCCATTACCGTGAGTGGAGAAGTGCAGTCTTGCAGCCTTATCGTTAACTACGACGTCGTCTCCGAGCACCACGTTTTGTGTGTGCACTGACGCCTTAGGAGCATTTCTCAAAAGTTATTAATAATTTGAGTTTTGTAGGCAACCTATGCTCTTGAGATGTACAAAGCTAGGATACTTTTTGAGATCATGGTAGAACCATCGCTTCGCCCTTGGCTGCCTGCACGCGTCATATTAAATAAGCGAGCATATGTGTACATTCGCTGCGACAGTACTTGTAGCAGACTGCTACTAGCAGTATTGAATGACATGCATTTCGATGCCACACTTCGTATCCGGAAATTCTGGACCAGCTGTAAGACGTGCACTTGCTCAGAATGCAGTGAATGTCGTCGAGCTGGTCGCTATAAAAATGCTCCAGACCGAACGCGCTTCAAAGAGAAGTATCCTTTACTTCAAGTAGTAATGAATCTTGACTGAGTCGATGCGAAAACTATTTTGCACCTCTAAACTAAAAGTTGACTTTTCAAGTCAGCTCGAATTTTGGCCAACCAAATTAACATCCCTCGCCCCTGGCACTACGATTCGTATGAGTCGCTGCGATGGAGACATTGTCGTCTACGAGTGCGTCGGTTATGGAGGTCAACGTCACTATAGCGTCCAAGTCACGGATTCCACACTGGCTCGTGGTGCAATGTGAGGCTGGCAGCAGTCCGTCGTGTGATGCGAAACGAGTGGACGCTGTGAGTGTCCGTGGAAGTCACGATGTGTTCATCCGCTTCGAAGAGGCCGACGGTGATGAGCTCAATGGAGACACTAGCGTTGCACGAGTGCGAGTCATTAAAGGGGATGCCCACGACCAGAAGGACATTATACTGCAGCTGAGGATGATGGACCAGCTCCTCACGCTGGACGTTGCAGCGTTTCGGAAGACCGTCGAGATTGTATTGCTTCAGAAAAATACATTGCAACGAGTGGTCCATCAAGGGTCGGGTGACGTCGTGGTGGAGAACAATATATTGTCCACAATGGGGCCAAGTCTGGCCATCGCCACACTTGGCAGTGGGGATCTTTTCGCTACGTCTACGGAGACCGTGAAGGTGGACACATTAACGCTGAGCTCTAAGGGCAGTGGACTCCTGCAGACAACGTTCTCAGAGCTCCGAGTATCCAAATTTCTAGCCGAGTATTACGCGTCTGGGGACACTACTGTGTTCGTTGAATCCGAGAGTGACGTCGACAGTCTGGCAGTGATAGCAGAGGGGTCAGGTGACGCCTGTTTCGGTTGGATGGCGTTTTAATCTGCTGGAGGTCTGTTTCGGTTGGATGGCGTTTTAATCTGCTGGATGTCTGTTAATCTGCTGGAGGTGCAGCAAGTCGGTTCGGGTGACGTTTCTATTGGACCAGAGGGCTCTTGTCAGGCGGCAAAGCTGTCGACGCAAGGCTCAGGAGAGCTTGACGTTGGCGGCGTCAAGTGTGGCACTGTGGATGCGAATTAAATGAGTAGTGGCGAAGTCATCGTGCCACCGGAGCTACCAACTCTTTGGCAATCGAAGCGTACGGTAGTGGCCATGTCAAGTTTACGGGTGCAACTCCTCAATCGATTACCAGTACGGGTTACAGCCAACTTTACCCTGTTCGTGTCGACGACTCGTATTTACCCGCACACTGCAAACGTCACAAATTACCAGCGATCAAGTCAAAATTTGCAGCAGTTTCGAGCGGTGCTTTGGCCTCAGCAGAACTAGATTCGGCTGAGAACAGCCCATCTGCCGCAGTGGGGACAGGTGCTGCGGGAGGTGTTTGGAAAATCGTGAACCATGACAAGGACAACCTCCTTCCTCTGGCTGGAGTTGTGGTTCTCGTGGCCTTAGTTCTACGCTGGTTTAATAGCTCTCGCCGTCGAGCTCGAGAAGAACAGCGCGAGCCGCTGCTTGCAGCGCAACGACGTGTGTATATTTGAGAAAGTGCGTCGGTCATTGGCAAGTGCGTCACTCTCACGATTAAAGTCTGTGAAAAACTATGAATTGAGTAAAGGCGTATGACCTCGTTGGTGACAGCGCAAGGTTAAAAAAATCAAAAATGAACTACCGGGACTACCGGTATCCGATAAAGCTGCTCTTATTGTTTTCAAAAAATAACTTTCATTTTCTAAAGCTGTAAATATGGGTTAATTGATCACCAGTCGCTCCAAGACAGTAACTCCTCATTGGTTTCGACACCGCACCTCTCGGTCGTCAGTCTCCAACTCACCGCGGTGACAATGCTCAAGGACAAAATGCCTCCCAACGTGCTCTTCGGCTCTCGTCGTCGCGCGCCCGAGATGGTGGGGCTTATGTTACTGTTGGTGACCGCGTTCTCGATGGTGGGACGTGTTGTGTATCTTTCGAGTCGCAACATCTCGACCCCAGAGCTCAACGTACCCATCGGCCGCAACAACGTTAGGCAAACACTTTGGCTGCAGCGGCAACAAGAACGCCAAACGCAGATCATACAACCGACCCGAGCACCGCATGTTTACGACAACCAGGATACTAAGAGCAAGTGCTACACACAACGCGATGTTGGTATCATCCCAGCAGTTCGACAAGCAGCCAAGAACTTCTGTGTCAATGGAGGTTGGGACAAGGAGAAGCAGAAGCCTGTGAGTCATAGCAAAGCTACAAAGGTATCGACGTTCCGAGTTGGAGGAGGTATCAGGAGTGCCACGTTCCAGAACCTCATGCTGGATTTGGTAGACGTTAAGATCAATTCACCAATCGCGAGTATGGCGCAAGACGGTGGCACACACGACCCGAGATTTAACTTTAACCCTAAGATGATTAACTGTGCATGCGACGAATTTGCTGCTTACTTCAGCCACCTGCCGGGTGATAAGGAGCGCCGAGGAGAGCAAGTGTGGCAGCCATCTCTCATGCTCTTCCCGGGTAATGGCGTCCCTTTGTCCAGTATCTGTTCACCAAAACGCCCCGAAAACTCCAGTCGCTCAGCTTGGGATTTCGTTAAGAACCCATTGCAGACACCAGATAATAACGAGACGGTGGTGTTCGAAGACCCCGTGGTGCTCATTGCGCGTCGGGACGACCATAACCCGTTCTTCCAGATCTCGTACGCTCTTAACTCGTGGATTATGCTCCAAGCTCTCGGCTGGGATGTCACGAAAACTCGCGTGATCCACTTGGACGGCGGCTATCCGTCCCCTATCGATAATCTGCATCAGGGACTCTTGTCACCAAATCATAAGCTTATCGATGGATCCAGTCTTATAGGCAAGCGTCTGCACTTCCGTGGCGATGTCATGATCGCGCCGTACGAGTTATCGGGTCCAATGATGCAACACCTGAATAACGAGGAGCCGTGCTTCGACTCGGAGCTTCTTAGGACTTTTCGCTCCCATGCATTGTTGACGTTGGGTATAACACCGCAGATAGAGCGAAGCATCGGGCTAACAGCCATTCGCCCTATGATTGTAACTGTGATCACTCGTCGTCCGTACGGTGGGCGTGTATTGCAGCGCGTGTGGCTGAACGAGGACGAGATCATGGACAAAATACGCCTCAAGTACAAAGATCTGAATGTGGAGTTCCGCTCCGTGGAGTATGTGAATCTGACGCTGGCAGAGCAGATGAAAACCACGATCCAGAGCGACATGATCATCAGTATGCATGGCGCTGGTCTGGTCAACGTGCTCTGGGCGCGTCCAATGACGGTGATATTGGAGATATTCCCAAAAGAACGGTTCCGCTGGGGATACCGGAATCTTTGCCAGTTCGTGGGCTGCGACTGGCACCAATTCCGTGGAGGTGATGATGTTGGTGAAAATCCAGCTCCTAACTCTAAGAGCAAACGGATTCCTTACGACGAGTGGGTGCTGTTCTTCGCACCACTATTTAACAGTAGCTATGATGCGTTCCAGGACCAGCAGGCAGCTCTACGTGGAGAATCATCGTAGCAATTATTCACTCATTCATTTACATTTCAACAGATACATCCCCCCCCTTTACCCACCCACAGTCACATACATCGCTTCTTCAGTTTCTAAAAAAAAGGTATAAACCCATGCACTTGTAAGACCGTGTTCAACTCGAGTGCAAACACGGTGTTGGGGTGCAGTGTATACAGTATACTGCGGCTTCTTGGCTTCATTCAATGTATACATTATCACTCGATATCGTCTAATTGTTGAAGACTAAAAAAATCTCACATGTACAGTGCCAGCCTGGAAGCCATCAACGAAGCCGCCAGAAGTTTACTACAGTGCCGCAAACCTCGTCGAGGATGTAGAGCAAGATGGTGCCGCGTCTTCAGCTCGACCTGTTCGTGCCAAGCAGATCAAGCTCCGCCCAGTCCACTGGTCGCGATTAATCGTCGTCATGTACTCTGATTGGTAGAAATTCTTTTTCTATTAATCGCGACCGGCCACATCTGGCTTAAAGTCTCTTCCAAAACCCGAGCCAATTCCGCATCTCCTCAGTCAGAATTCCGTCGCTCTCCCCGCCTCCCGCCATGCCCAAAGACGACGCATCGCCCTCCACTGACGTGTCCGTATCCCCCACCACCTTATGCGGACCACGTCGGCGCCTACTTCAGACGCTGGCGCTGGTACTGCTGCTGTTGGGCGCTCTCTCGATGGTTGCTCGCATCGTGGACTTGTCGGCCGCCACGAGCAGCTTTCGCACCGGCGATACGAGCCAATCAGAACTCAGCGTGCGGGGGCCCATACGCCACAATGACTACCAGCAACAGGCAGCCGTCAGCGCCAATAACAGCTCAATTGCTGCGCAGATCACAGAGACCAACACTCCTACGGCAACTATCGCAACTCCTCCAGTGACGCAACCGACAGTGGAGCAACTTGAGAAGCAGGAGGTCTCGTAGTACAGCACACAAAGGCGCCACACGACTACAGCAGCGTGGAGACCAAGAACCAATGTTACGCGCAGCGAGATGTAGGCGTCATCGCTGCGGTGCAACAGGCAGCACGGAATTTCTGTGCTGATGGAGGCTGGGACAGCGTTAAGCAAGCTCCTGTGAGCCCCGAGAAGGCCACCAAAGTGACCACGTTCCGAGTTGCTGGCGGCATCCGCAGCGCGACCTTCCAGAACCTCATGCTTGACCTCGTGGGGGTTGGCATCCACGCACCCATTAAAAATATGGGCGAGGACGGCGGTAGTCACGACCCGAGGTTCAACTTCAACAATCGCTTGATCAACTGCGCGTGTGACGAACTGGCCAATCATTTCTGGAAGTTGCCGGGCGATAAAGAGCGCAAGGCCGAGCAAATCTGGCAGCCATCATTAGTGGCTTTACCAGAAGAGGGTATCCCCATGTCGACCATCTGTTCCCCTCGGACACCGGAGAATACCAAACGATCAGCATGGGATTTTGTGAAAAACCCACTTCAGGCGCCGGATAAAAACGAGACGGTGGTGTTCGAAGACCCCGTGGTGCTCATTGCACGTCGGGACGACCATAACCCGTTCTTCCAGATCTCGTACGCTCTTAACTCGTGGATTATGCTCCAAGCTCTCGGCTGGGATGTCACGAAAACCCGCGTGATCCACTTGGACGGCGGCTATCCTTCCCCGATTGACGCCTTGCATCAAGGTTTATTAGCTCCCAACCACGACATCATCGATGGGGCAACGCTAATAGGCAAACGAGTTCATTTCCGTGGCGACGTGATGGTCGCCCCGTTCGAGTTGTCTGGACCGATGATGCAGCATTTAGACAACGAGGAGCCCTGCTTTGAGTCGGAATTGATGAAGACGTTCCGTGCGCAATCTCTCTTGACCCTGAACGTGACTCCCGCGATGGAACGTGAACTCGGTCTGACTACTATCCGCCCTATGATCGTGACGGTCATCACGCGTAGGCCCTACGGTGGACGGAAGCTTCAACGTATGTGGGTGAATGAGGACGAAGTGATGGCCAACATGCGGATCGAGTACAAGGGGCTGGACGTGGAGTTCCGCTCGATCGATTACGTCAACTTGACGTTGTTTGAGCAGATGAAGACCACGATCGAGAGCGACATGGTCATTAGTATGCACGGCGCTGGGCTCGTGAACGTCATTTGGGCACGGCCGATGACTACCGTTGTGGAGATTTTCCCCAAGGAGCGGTTCCGCTGGGGGTACCGGAACTTGTGCCAGTTTGTGGGCTGCGACTGGCACGAATTCCGTGGCGGCCAGGATCTCGGAGAGGGCGGGACGCCGAACTCGAAGAATAAACGCATTCCATACGACGAATGGATGTCGTTCTTCCATCCTCTTTTCCGCCAATCCTACGGCGCGTTTGAGGAGCGACAGACAGTGCTACGTGGCCAAGCGTCGTAAACTCCAATCCAATATTTGCGTCGACCGAAGTGTCTACAGTGCAACATCGTCCACGGCTTCGAATACGGAAACGTTATTCGAAATATGCTGATAGTACAGTACACGAGCAATGCAGGCATCGGTTTACTTTAGACAAACAGCAATGCAACATATGTAGTGCGTATGCGACCTCAAGTGAGTGAGCGGTAAGAATTATACATGTTGAAGTGAGGAATGACCTTCAAAAATGTGTGCAGCTTTCCCAAAAATTAAAAGTTGAGTTTCATTCCTCTGCATTTTTTTTTATCTTTGTGAATTGTTTTAGAGTACATGTACTCGGGTGTGTGCAGTTATCAAAATGTCCTTTAAATGTGCAGCTGCTACGTCTGAATTGGCGGCAGTCTTTTGGTCTGCCTCAAAAAATCGGTTCATGTTAGCAGTGGCGCTGGTTGTGGCTGTGCACTTGAGTGATGTACTGCTTCTCCTCGAAGTGCAGCGTGCAGAGGTGGTCGGTACGCTCGTATGCCGGACGTGCACAGCCCCCCATCGCACAACGCTTGCCGCCTCCATGTGCCCAGCAGCATCCATTCGAGACACTGATCGTGGTGCAGCCACGGAACGAGCAGAGAGTTCCGCCGCCGTGAGACCAACAGACTCCCTTGGTCTTGGCCCGGTTGGCACAGTCGGGAACCTTGCACTTGACAGAGCCGCCGTGACGCCAACACCGACGTGCGTGCTTTGCGCGACTCGTGCAGCCATCGACCATGCAGTATTTACTGCCCTTCTTGATGATGATACCGTTTGCGAGCACAGCTCCAGCCTTGCCAGGTACTTTCGTGCTACCATTGGACACGCTGACGTTCTGGAGAGGGCGGCGCTTCGCAATCTTGCAGGGACCTGAGGGCGGTGCCATGATTGGAGCGAACGTCTTGTGGGAGGATCCTCGCTGTGGTGAAGTCCACGGAAACGAAGGCAACATCGCTGGCTTCGCGATGACCTTTTCTTCGCTCGATAGGATGAAGTCGAGAGAGCACTTGTTGACCGGCTTGGTCGGCTTGAGACCGAGCAACTGCGGCATTTCCACGAAGCTTGGTTGAGAAAGTGGGAGGAATGTGCGGAAGGACATCATGATGGCGATGTAAAAGAGGTTTTGTACTCCTGATGGAGAGTGAGAAAATTGAAATGTGAGACTTCTGAGCGGGAGATCTCACGAGTTCACCGAGAGGTTCCTAGTGTCTGTCTAGTAGCCGAAAGGCTCAGGAGCCGTTACCAGGCGATAAATATTCCACTTGACATGCGTCACCCGTTGCTCGCGTCCTTTTTGTAGTAAGCGCCTGGCCTGGATGGCGTCATAGGGTCAGCACTGCAGCAACCGCAGTAAAAGGAAGCCAACTGACAGTCCGACCTCATGATGGAGCATCATAGCCGACAATATCATGCCCACTTGGAAATTAAAAGGAAGACTTCCTAGATTTGCCGAGTTATTCTCAGCAGTGCATTAATACATTTTCTGGAGCCTCGAGATCGTTGCTTGGACTTCAGCTACGCTCCTTTCAGCGGGGTCAGTTTCTGACGCGCCGACTGCTGGTCTACTGGTCTGTTCAGCTCCGGGCAGTCCAGGATGGTGCCTGTATGAGGGCGGACCAGGGGACATGACATTGCACTCGAAGGGGCACGAAACTGAACTTGAAGTCAAGTGTACCACTCTCATCGTCGAATCGTACAGCTACGGGCCATTTGGGTCATGCCCAGTGATGGACTTCTTCACGTAAATTCGGTACGATGCACAAAGAGAGGAGATGTATTTTTAAACTGATAATAGGTACTTTCAAAAGGATCTCGTTCATTTACTTCATCCAAGGTTTTTGTATGTGCCGTGACAGAGAGATCAGCGGACCATTCGACTGGAGATATTTAAGTAGCGCTATCAAATCTATTTTCTTGCAAAAATGGCTTCGTTATCAGACGACTTATTTTCAAAGATACCTAATACTGTATTTGATACTTTGCCATGTCATCTAAATTTGCCAAGTAATAAGAGTCTCAGCGTCACAGCAGTCCCTCACTTTTGCTTAAGAAAAACTTGGCATCCCAATTTGGACTGCCCATCCGAACGGCATTTGCAGCACAGTCGGGGTTTTCCCGATTTTCGGCTGTCACTCGGACAAGAAACGATCTTTTCGGCCGAAAGCGTTTACAATAACATCGACGCTGCTGATATCGTCGATCCGCAATGACCTTTCCTCGGTGCATGGGGGCAGTTTCTGATGCGCCGACAAAGGTGGTTTCCTGTTCAGCAGCAACGAGTTGAAGGGCGGACCAGGTACGTTCAGCGCTGGCAATATGCTGAGTCGTTTCGAGCTCATGAAAGGCTCACTGAGGCGTGTCGGTTGTCGCAATCGTGGCCTTGTTTCCCGCCACGCATTTCTGGGCGAGCTTCTTCAACTGACGGCGAGCTGTGCACCCTTAGCGATGCATTTCTGATGCTTCACGACTTCATATGCGCTAAGGTACGACGCAGTGGATCGATCCGTGTACTGTTACATGCTTACGTGTACCTGTCTGCACACACACACCGTTATGTGCACCCTTTGGCAAATGAGATATCGGGTCAGGACGATCCTAATCGAAAATCGAAAGATAAAGATGCCCGAATGCCCTTGAATGTCGACAAGGTTACCGAAGCGGCGCAGCGGAGGACAAGAACTACCGTGCATGTCAAGGAGGGCGGAACGTGGCTGACTGTCATACCATACAGTACACACAGCACTCACACTGATCCTCATGTTAGGTGCCATGAAGCACTACTGGAGGAGCCAAATCACCTTCAAAACGCACTAGAAAACACCCTTTGAGGTTCTGGACAAGCCACTGGGTGGATAATGATCGCCGCTCAGTACATGTAATCACGCGCCATCAGCAAGATACTGCTGGGTTGTCAACAACACCAGTGGGTTGGTGAATCCGCTGTAGACGTGGCTGCAGAGAGCTCAGTTGTGGAACTTGACTCAATGAGGGCGAAAGGTTGCGTTGCACTTTTATTAAAGAAATACTTTCGACTTGAAATTCGACCGTGTAATGGCTGCGGCTTCTGCAATCCAGCGCGAGGCACCAAAGACGCCACCTGTTGTTGCAGGCGCCTCAACAGCGTTGGTCAATCGTGGCACTGTACCTATCATCCTTGATAACCGGTGGGCTGATACCGGTACGTGGGGCAATTGCTCAGTGCCACTTCCATGCGGGGAATCTACTGCTTGCAAGAGTTCGACGATGCCACCGATAGATCAATGACGGTTAGTGCGAGAAACGACATTTATTGACATGGAATATTTTTAATTTGTAGTTGTCCGGGCTACTTTTGGTGTCTTACTCCGACTTTGGGAAGATGTCCTTGTACTTCATCAAGGTCTCCTTCCAGGGCGTCGGCTTGCGACCGGTGAGCTTCTCCACAGCATCTGACGCTGGCGTCATGCATCCGTTTGCAACCATTTCACCGGAACACAGCAAGTCGCCGATGCACAATTTCATCGGAAGCTGCGAGAAGTCGCCGTACACGTCTTCGGGCAGACCGCGATCCAGCCACCACTTCTTCAAGTCTTCATCAGACATATCCACCATCTCGCCCTTGTAGCCAACCGCATTGCTCATGAGCTCGAAGATCTCCTCGTGCGAAACACCTTCACTCCCAGTGACCTCGTACACCGTGTTTGGCTCTCCGCGACCTAGAAGCAGCGCACCCAACACGCGACCACAGTCGTCACGGGACACGTAGCATCCCTTCTGACCGGCAAAACAGCAATAAAAATAATTTTAAGTGCTTGGAGCACCACGGGTGCAAAAATTATTGGTGTTATTTCATGTAATACATGTATACAGTGGACTGATACTCGTCTAGTTGGTGGGAGCCTGAGGAAATATGAAAAATCCACAGTTTTTTTAAGGATAATCCACACCGACAGATCCACAGTCCACAACAATCGACGACATTGTACTGTACCAGTGCAGTGTTATATTGACGTCATCGCCTGTAAAACGATGACGCCCTCGGAGGCTTAAGTACCATTGGTAATTAAGCCTCCGAGGGTACTACCAAGTACTGCTTGGTAACCAGTGTTTTATCACTCGAGAACTACCAAAGAAGCCCCAATTCGTCGCTTGAGCAGCCTGCCACCCCGTCCAAATCCACCCGCTCACAACAATCACGACGCAGTGCCTTCCCCCAAGCACGAGCTCCGCCACCACTGCCAGAAGAGTCTGAGCCGCCACCAGAAGCCGCACTTGCAGCCCAAACGCCACCGAGGTGTCTGTTCCGTCGTCTGAAGCCTTGAAGACTCTGTTAACGAGTCAGTATTGCCCCCAAGAAGCCTCGCAATCGGCACCTACTTGCTGTTCGTCGTGAAGAGGCTGCTGCTTTCAGACGTGCGTTGTGTTAGACGCGTGAAGCTACAGCCGTTGGTCCGCTCTGCTGGCGAGTACCTCAACCACATTTACGACTTGACACGACCTGTGTGCTCCTTCACATGTGTGCCTGGCCAGTAAGTGTGGCGAGGTGTCAGTCATTATGGATGCCAGTCTAAAGGCGCAATTCTGGAATGAAGGCTACCTTGTCGGAAACTTAAGACTACCGCCTCACACTTTGGAGAAAGCTAAACAGGAAATCGAGCAACTGGACTTCAGACCTATTTTTGGTGAAGTGTATGAAGTAGAACGTGACCATTTCCGTCTTCAAGCTCCTATTGCTACATTTGGTCCGGCTACAAACAAAATATACAAGCGAGTGAAGGGTATTGTGGAAGGATCTGATAAAAATTGGTACACCAAAAAGTCTATTTGGAACGCATTGAAATCACTTCCGGGGGGCCTTCGCCAAGGCATCCACCTAGATTTTCCTTCATTCGAGACAAGCAAAGCGAAACTGGAAAAGGGTATTGTTCAGGCGTCTGTCATTATTGCTCTTCAATCAGACACACAGTTCTACGTCTATCCTGGCTGTTTTGGAGTCTATGCAGAAATGGAAAAATGCAAACTGTTGTCACTCGACGCGGGCGCATTCCTGCTGTTTCGCGGAGACTTGGTCCATGTAGGGGCTGAATTTGAAGAGGAAAATTTGAGGCTGCATTGTTACGTACGTGTACGTGGAATTCCACAAAAGGCCGACGCAACTGAAGCTGCTGTGTTCAGAAGCTACATGTGCGAGCATTGCGTCCAACAGTGCACATCGCGTCGTCATCTCTCCAACCACCGCCGTTACTGTGCTGACAACCCCAACAAGGTCAAGTCCAAGAAAGCGCGCCTAGAAGCTGATGCGCCTGGGGGGATTTGCCACAAGTGCAACAGGAAATTCAAGAAGCGAAACGCGCTGTACCAGCATAACCACCGCCGCCATCCGAAGAAACCGGGGTAGTCCAGCTACACTGAAGAGCTAGCGTACGTGTACCACGAAGACGGCGTGGATGACGAGGTCGAGCACAGTGATATCATTGAGGAGAAGAGCGATGATGATTTCTACGTAGATAATGATGATGCGGTCGACGCTGAGAGCGACGACGAAAGTGAGGACGCAAGCGAAGAAGAAGTCGAGGAAGAGGAGGGTGGGGAGGTGGGAGAAGCAGAAAGCGCGGAGGAGAGCGAGTGGGAGAGTGAGGCGGAGAGTGCACAGGACAGTGAGTAACTGAATACACAATTTAATTTGTTTTTCTGTTTATTTTAAGCTAAATAAAAAAGCGATCCGTATTGTCAGAGTAAGCGATCCGTATTGTCAGAGTCAGCGATCCGTATTGTCAGAGTGAGCGATCCTTATTGTCAGAGTAAGGGATTTGTAATGCCAGACTTTCAAAGTAATATCTCTAGAGGCTTAACGTACGTATTCGTTTCACGTAGCAACTGAATCTTATAGACTGCATTCGCAGGAAAACAATATGGTAATACTGGAACAAAGTGGACGTCAGCAGCAAGACCACAGTGAAGATCGGAGACATCAACGATATCTTTGTGGCTATCAAACCAACAGCTGAACGGCGGAAAATCGACATGAGGAGACGCGAGGGTAGATCCAACAGACTTCACTGCGTCCTTGTGCAAGACTAACCGGCTTAAGAGCACAATATATGCTTACTACATTTTAATGGGAATTAAATCCCACGCGAGGTCATCATCAGCCTTATCGGCTGTCCGTGTGTTCAACTCGCAAAGATACTATACGTATAATAAGAAACATAGCAAGAAGAAGGCAATAAGGCGATGAAGTGATGGTATATTCAAGCAAACATTCATTTCGTGTGTCTACAACAACGATAAAGCTGGACCGTTAAGGATCGGACGTCCACGCTGCTTCTGCGATCTTATCTTTTAAGGTTTTTCTTTTGTTGCGCCGGCTGCGGTTGAACAACTTCCTCTTGCCAGGTTGGTCAGTACCAAACCTTGTATAAAAGGCGAAGAGAAGATGTACACACTGGCCTTTGTGGAAAAAGTATTTACACGGGCAAGTGCGAGTAGTTAGATCCACTGACCATCCTTCCTCCGGCTGTTCATCTCTTTCCATTCTAGCCGCATTAGCACCAAGTTGCACAGCCACATCCACAACTTCCATCGACTTCCTCTTCGGCTTCACGTAGATTCGAGGTGTAGCTTTAGAAACGACAAGTACAAAATTGCTGGAGCCGTCGAAGGATGGAGTCTCAACAGCAATTGCTGTCGGCGCAAAGCTGTCGCGCGCCGTCGAAGCCTGCTGCTAGCGGTAGATGTTTCATGGAATGCAGCACCCGACACGCTCTCCATTCGACGACAAACTTGAAGTTGACCAAGCAAAGACCCCATTAGCATTCGCTCTCGTAAAGTGTAGGTTTTCTTCAGCTTGGCATTGAACGTTTCCACGGGATTATTTGTAGTTGCCCAACCAACAGGCGTACGGAAGCACTGCCATTTCACAAACTTTGCCGTCAGCCACTGCTGCAGAAAATACTCTCCAAATCGCTCGACATCTGGGTCGGCAAGCCACCGCCGCACTGCAGACGTCTTTTTAGCATGAAATTCCGAGGCGTTTCTTGCGTAATGCATATCAAATATATCGGCCAAGACCAGGCTACGCTTACCGGGTAGTAGATACCTCGTCCGCTCATGAAGTTTTGCGATAACGTGGTAAAATCACATCAAAATCTCTGTTTCACAATCCTCGAACACTGATGCCATCGCATTGTACTGAGCTCCGTCGGCGTCTCCAAGAATGTAGTGCACTACCATCGGCTTCCGCAAAAATCGAGCGTAGATAGCTCGGAGGGATGCAAGCGCACTCGCGTAGTGACGCTCTTCTTGTTGTGACACGACGAACAAAGCAACCAAGTGAAAGGAACGAGAATGGTCAGAAATTCCACATACAAAGGTAGGATAATCCACTTGGTTCAGCTTGTAGGTCGCATCAAAATGCAAAATGAAACTGTGCGGATCACGGTCGAGTCGTTTTAAGAGTGTCTTCGTAGTGAAGCCGACAAAAAATGTGCTAGTGTCGGTTCCTTCACCAATATTGATGTCTCCATTACAATTCATGTTGCTCGAAAACGAAAATGCAGAGCTTTCTTCTTCTAGCCCAGTGTAGGCTTTTGCTCTGATAACTTCCTCCAGAATATCCAAGTCGTCCGTATTGTTCAATTCAGCCTTGCGGCAATACGTAACAAAACTTTGCACCTTGCTGAGATGCGGAATTTTTTCCGCAGAGGCACCAACAGCCAGCGCGTTTCGAATTCGAGCAGGTTTCAGACCGTTAGCAGCTAGTTGGCGCGCCGTTCTCTTTTGTTCCAACGTCAGGCCGCCAGTAGGAGGATCATTTCCTTTCACTTCGTGTAAACCAAACTCGTAAATATTCACTATGCCGCTTTTGCAGCATACAAGCGTCTTGCATTTCAAACGACACCTTAAAGGTGCGACACACGCATCCGCACACGTAGCTGAAGAGCACGAGAAGACCCGGTATCGCATTGTGTGAGGTGATGGATCCGTACACACGGCACATATCGATGTGTTGCTGACAGTGACTTTGTGTGTGTTTCTTCGCGTGCTTCATGTTTTCCACAATACGCTCGCTTTCCACCTCCGACACCTGCCGATACAGCATAGCCCACGGGAGTGGCTTTCCCATTTGTTAATGCGGCTGTGTCAGATACATTGTTAGCAATCAAGCAAACAAAATACAATAATTAGGTAGTTTTAGCGTCCGTACGGTAGGTAGAGGATTTCGTCTAGCTACTCACTATGGGCTTACGAGTGCTGCGCGTAGAGAGCAGGGGGAGTCAGGTGGCGTTGTCGGTGGCTGGTCTCGACGTTTCCTACCGCAGATTTTGATTGGATGCGTGTCGGCCAATCTCCGGAGGTTTGTAATCGGTCACTGGTTGGCTAAAATTTAGTTTGTTTGATTACCTGACATTTGGTGGATTGATTGATCTTCTAGTGGATTTGTCAATTCAGCTATGGATTAGTATAGTGTGTTATTTACTGGGCTCACAGATCTGTGGATTAATACTATCTCTGTGGATTGACCTCATAGTACTGTGGACATTTTACGCGTCCTCGTACTGCACCCCGTTTTTGCGGGGGTGGACCATATAGGATTTAAAAATAAATCAGAGTTTAGCGTATTTTCAATAGTTTTTTTGGATTCAGGATCACCACATCCGGAAGTTTATCAAAGGTCCAAGGGCGCGAAAACGGGGGTGCAGTACTGTATTAATAAGGATAAAGAGCAAGTTTTCGCTAATAAAGTCGTGCACCTCCAATTCGACACCGGTATCAGTCGATACCCTGCCAGATTTTATGATTACGCGAATCGGATGCGCAATTACCTTTGCCCATCACCACCCTAGCAATTAACCTCAACGGTTTTCCCCTCCTCGCGGAGGGATGACACGCCGCATCGATCTGATTTTAAATTTTGGATCGGACGTCTTCATACAAACACACACTTTGATTTTTACCGCCAAAGACAATGGGACATCGCCCTTCCTTCTACATGTCCCACAAAAGCAGTCTTTGTGCGAGAAGCACAAGTCAGATCCTGCATGCTCTCACTCCGAACTTGCTCGTTGGGCAACGGAGCGCTTTAAGACCCCCCGAGCAGTAAAGCGCACTACCGTCCAGAGTATTCTTAAGCGGTCGGCGGACGTTGCCGCCTTGCCGGATACCTATCGCGACCGGAAGCGCTGTTGCGCGCCCGCGATTCGCGCGTCTGACGCCAAGATTATGCAGAAGATTGGCGTAAATGTTGTACTGAATTAACAAAGGAAATATCAGTGCACTGGATTTACGTTTGTTTTTTGCTTTACGTTGTGCACTTATGCCCTGGCACTATTGATATGGTCCGGCCTGTCGAATTGGAGGTGCACAACTGTAACGGGCGTGTATGATCGGAGAGGTTACCAAACGGCCGCAGAATTTGGGACGAGGAGGAGTCGGAGGCCGAGCTGGGCCAAGACCGCTCCAGTTGCTGTAGGAAGTCTTTCAACGTCGTCGCCGTCAGCTGGGACTCGAATGCTCGGTAGGTTGGCGGGAACATCACCGTCACCACTTGTATTCACCAGGCGAAATTACCCAACCGGAAAAGTTCATCTT